AGGCAACAAAAATTTGCTTCTTCTGTAATGCCACACAGACCGGGCGCAATCAGCAGATGCTCTTCACCCATACGGGAGAACAAGCACCATGGAGAGCAACTATCTACCGAGATATTCTCAGTTGGATGACTGACAAGCTTCCTTTGGACAACTTGTGCGACTCGATATTCTTGGTTTAGAGTTCATAGTTAAAAAAATATTTGCCGACAGAGACAAAGCATCATGATAATTCTTACTGAGGTCCTTTACTGCTACTCCCCAATTTCGACTTAGACGTCCTCAGGATGTGCTCCATGCACAACCTGAACCTGGGGCTGGTGTTCATTGCGAACGGCTCAAGCTTGTGCTTGGGCTTCAATTTCGGTATTCCGGGGTTCCGTGTCTGGTCTGGTGAAAACTCAGATTGTTTGCGGCTTTTTAAAGAATACTTCCAAGGTACACGTTAGCAAAAGCCGGCTGGTATGGGGATCCTTCTCAAGGTCTCGAAAAGCTTTTCGCGACAGCCTATGCCGATTTCAAAGCATGGCTGAAAGAAACCAAGATCTACTCTTCCCAGCGAAGGTTCAAGTACGGGCTGGTGCCTTTGTTTAATATCGAGCCTGGTGATGTGGGTTAAGGGGTCACGTTGTCGGGTGATATTTTTGCTTGGGATCGGAGCTGAGGTGATGAAGAAGCGAGATGGAGGCTTACGTGCGCCTTCAATGAACTGCAAGGCTTGGAATGGCCGGATCGTGCTGGAGTACTTGGCTTCTGTTTCTCGATTGGCTGTGTCACAACAACCTGCTGCTGGGCTCCCACGCCACTTTGGGGCATGGCTGGTTGGGCAGGTGCGTGCAAGGGCAGCAGCTTTTCCTACGGATCCGAAAATTCCACTGCAAGCGGTTGCCATGAGTCTTGCCTGGTATTTTCGTTGTTGTCTGCTATCCACTAATGATACTGACTTAGTGAGTTCTTTTACCAATTCTGTTTAAACTGAGGACTGGGCTGGCCAGATTTTTTGGTATCTCCGAGCGATTGCCGCGACTCCTGGAACAAGAGGAAGCAAATCAACTTTATCATGAGGGCATGCTTTTCATCAGCACGGCCCTGGATCTCGCCCAGGTTTCGGTGAGGTCAGGTTTTCGAGCTTTCCGTTTTCGATGATTCACAGGCGATCTTCTTAAAGCTTGGATTTCTGTTTCCCCTTTCGAAGGCAGATGGAACTCACCTGGAATGTTACACCAAAATTGCATTACTTTGAGCACCAGCTGTTGGAGACAAAGCGAAGTTGAATCTGGGCACGAATTTAGTTGGCAAGTGCCGATAAACAAGGGGATGTCGGGATTTTTCTGGCATGGCAGCTAAGGCATGAACATGCGATTTCACCATTGCTTCACGGATGAAGATGCCATGCGGTGGACGAAGCTGTTAGCTCGCAAAGCAAATCCTCCCACGTTTGAACAATCGGTGCTCAAGAAATCGATTTCCAGGCTTGCGGCCTTGAAAAATCATCGCCGTTTGCTGTTTGCAAAGCGAAGTGCGGGGCGACGTGCTCAGCGCGATGCCAAGAGAAGCTAGCTGCTACCACATTTCAGCGGATCGAGTTGGAAAAGATGTCTTTCTTATGGCTGTGCAACGGCTTCTAAAATCACAAGGCCCCGTATACCCGTGAGCTGAACATGCGTCCTTCGATTCGGCGTCCTCAGAAGCAAGTCCCTGAAAACAACGGCCCTGGGAATACCAGGGTATAGATGACCGTACATATCATACATATACATACGCATGTACATACACAACACTTACACGCACACGCACACGTACACATACACATAAGCATATACCGACACCTGCACTTATACGTACACCTACACATGCAAACACACACACACACATACACGTACACTAACTCGTACACGTACACAAACAGGTACACATGAATGCATGCACACCCACACACATACATACATACATACATACATACATACATACATACGTACATACGTACATACGTACATACGTACATACGTACATACATACATACATACATGCATTAGAAAAGATAGATAGCTAGATAGATAAATAGCTATATAGATAGATACATAGATACAGATCATAGACAGCTAGACAAGTAGATAGATACATCTAGTTATTCATGTTGTGTGTGTGTGCGTACACGTACTGTTCATGTATCTTTGTGCACACACGGGTAGATCTCGCGCACAACAACCGGCCGGTTGCATAGAACTTCTGGATCGAAGGAGCACGGAGAATTTGAGTGTGAGAGCTTACACGGGATTGGCATTTTTGTGATGAGACGGTTCGTTTGCTGCTTAGCCGGCTTGGGTCCTGTAAGGGAGGGTGCTATGAAGGAGGTTTCACCCGCACGTAATTATACATATATGCAGACATCATAGATTCATAGATGCACATGCGCATATGCAACAGTCTTGCACGTGCAGAGGAGTTTAGGCATCAGTGCAGCATCTAGTATACAGGCCCGAACAAATTGGTTTCGGTGCTGTTTAGCCTGAAAAAAAATTTTGAGGAACGTTCAAGTAATAATGGTAGTGATAATTCAAGCGCCTATATTGCATGTTTCTACCGCAACCTCATGGCAGGGAGCGACCGGCGACGGCATAGGACGAGCTACACATCCCGTATCCGGGGGCAGGGTCGGGTTTTCTTTCTGCCGCTGCAAGTTTCCGGGATTGGATTCACGGCTCGGTAGTTCCAGGGCCCGAAGTGGTCTCTAGGGCTTGCATATTGGCTGTCTCCGATGATTCTGAAGATTGATTTGGAAGCCTGTGAAAGACTTGGCCTACACCCCATGCTCCCCAAGAGCCTACACTGCCTACACTCTACAACACCGAAATGCATGGACACCGGCGGCTCAACAACGGTGCTGAGATAGTGTAGAAACGAGCTTTGCAAACCAAATGCGAAACATAAACGGGCCTGCACAGCCCAACACGTGACTCTGACTCTACACTCTTGCTGCAAGTCTTTTGACAGGAACGAATCTGCAGCCTGACGGAAGGGAGACCATCCAGTAAGAAAGCATCCTGCGGCTTCATGTGTACAAGTCATTTGAGACACGTTTCTCGTAGCAGCGTTAGGGAATCTCGATAAGGCCGCTGTCGCTATTGGGAGTTCAGTTATGCTTTCATCTCTTCGTGGCTTTACATGGAGTGAGTTTGACCCGAACCTTCGATGCAATTAAATTCCACACTAAATTTCACACTTGATGGAAACGATATGCCCGGCGATGTTTGCCTGGCCCTCGTGCGTGGTGCACGAAGAGAACTACCATCTGTTGGTCCCCATCTCAAGTCATAGCAATTACACCAGCAAGCTTGACACCAGGTGTATGTGTACATAACTGTACACAAATATGAATACAGATACATGTAATGACAGATATAGAGATACACGCGCACTGTTTTACCAAGTCGCCCAAAACCTCACCTCTGTTGCCAAGCACTATGTTATCGTTCATATTTGAACGCACATGGGGCCCAACATGAGTCATGCAAACGCGGACACCCTTCCCCATCCTCCTCCCGCACCTGTTGCGCATCGGCTTTGACAGAGGGTCCTGCGGCATGCCACCCAATTCCAACATTCCTCCAACACCAGACCAGTAAAACGGTCCAAAATACATACAGGAAGCCGGGCACATACCCCTCGAGAGACAGCGAAGGCAAAACACCAAATGTAGTCGGAACCATTCCGAGGATGGATCTTGGCGTTACCTTAGAGTTTCGGGCAGTCCTGGATTCAACACAGAAGTGGAGATGATAACATACAGGGGATTGTATTTTAAATTCAAGGCCCAACCCCCAGCCCCCCAGCGCCCTCAGTCCCAAAGCACACTCAACCTTCGGAAAACCACCATGCATGCACATCCCTTCACGCCCCCCACCTGACTGCCCTCCGCGCGCCCCTCCCTCACCCGACTGTTTCCACAGCGCTTATCCGGGACGCCACGACCGGCCTTGTTGTGCAGGCCGAACCCAGCATGGTTTTGGCCATTTTTCTGGTAGGGTATTGTAATTTAATTCCAGGCCAGCGCTCAGCGCCCACAGCACGCTTAAGCCTCGAGAGACCTCAACGCCCGCTGCGCTTTCGGCACGCTGCACCCGGCCTGCATTGTTTTCGCAATGGCAAGGTATTGATTATTGTAATTTAATTCCAGGCCCCCCGCGCTCTCGGCGCCCAAAGCACTTAGCCCCGATAGGCATATAACATGAACATTATGTGGTACATGAAGCTTGAACCTATCTAGGGTTTGTTTACCCGCAGCATACCGCTAAAGCGTTGAACTCTACAGTAATAAGGGACCCCCACAGCCCTAAGCTCCTAAGTTGCAAGGCTTTGAATATCCATGCCGCCGCCCTACGCCTGGAAATCGGCGGCGGTGGCAGCGGTCCGAGCGCATGCGCCCTGTGAGCCCGAGCCGCGGGCGAGCCGTAGCGAGCCGAAGCTTTCTTTTCGCAAAAGCCGCGGACCGGAAGCGCCGCTGACCTCGCCCGGAGGCCTTCTCGGAACACGCACGCGTTTCGCAGCCACCCCCGTGGACGACCCCAGGACGCCAGCCGGCGAGCATCATGAGCACTCGGGCCGCCCTGCAGCGCGAAGCGATATTGTGCCAGTTTTTGAATGAGTTGCGGAAGCCCGCAAAGGGCGCGCATCATCAGCATCAGTGGGGTTCGGTGGAGGGGGGGGTTGCGTGGCCTTGCTCCAGGAAACCCTACAAACACGCAAAAAGGGGCTTGGGCCTTTGGGTTTTAACCCGAAACACTAAACCCAATAGGGTACAGAAGAATAAGGTTCAGGGAGTTAGGGAACACTTGTTTGGCGGTGGCTTAGGAATTAAGGGTTTTCAGTTTGGCTTAGGACCTGAGGGCTCTGGGTTTTCCCATAAAGAAATCTCTTGGCAACTAGGCCGAGTCCAGAACAAAGTTCGCGGTGATCCAGAAGAAAGCTCACTTTATTTTGAATGGAACAAAAACGTGCAGGATACAAAAGCATCAGGATAAGCAGGACAACGAGAAGACAACAACAGGTCGCAAGGTGGTCGGGCATAGAACCCACCGTCTGTATCTTTCTTCCAACATACTTTGTACTGAGAACCCTTTGACTGACCCTGCGACTGAAACTGGAACCCTTCAACCTGAAATCCTGCTGGGCCCTAAGCCCTAAATGGCCTAAGCCACCGAAATCCTCAAGTTTTGAACTCTGGAACCCCTCTTTAGTCTGCGAGGGCACGATCCTCTGCTGCAGCCTGCCCGACGGGCCTTTCCGTGACTACCGTTTCAGGTTTTAGGGTTTCGGGCTTGGGGTTTAGGGTTTCGGATTAAGGCTTAAGGTTTCGTGACTCGGGTGTCTTGTTTCTGGTGCCGTGAAGCTTGATGAATTAATGATTGATTCATGTTGGCGGTGCTTTGGGAACCACGACTTTCGGGAAATGGCCATCTCTCGGTCTTCACCAGCTCTCGTGGTAACTTGGCGTCAAGCCAACACCCGGTTCGTCGGCAAGGGCAAAGGTTTCTTGGAGGTCTCTGCACCGACAGGATTGCTCTAACCCCTTCGGGGCCCCAAACCCTCACCCTAAGCATGATCCTGCTGATAGCACATGGGGACCTTAACAACGGCAACAAGCATTAGCGGGAGAACAGTAAGAAACACAAGATAATAAACAACTAGCAGGAAATGCGACACACAGGAAAAATCGTGTGGAACATTGATAACCATGACGACAACGAGATTTTGAGTTCTGGGAGAACCGTCACAGCTAGCGCCGAGCCCCGGACAATAAGCTCGGGGCCTACAGTACGGGAAGGGCTTCTAGTTTTGGGCTTGAGATTCGGGTTGAAGGCGTGGAGTGGAGCGTGGGTTTAGGGATTAGGAGGGTTGGGGTTCGGCTTTTGGGGCACAAGAAAAGGCACAGACTTTCGAACAAGTGACCAGAACTATCAAGCTGGCATCGCTTATTTGTTTATCGCGGGGGACAGGCCCGGAAACCTACACACCAAACTCCTCTTAAACCCATAACTCTGAACCTCAAACCCCAGGCCGTTCCAAAGACCCTAAGCCACCAACATTTCTAAACCATTAACCACTCAAGGCCCTCAAACCCTGAACCTCGCAAATTGCCCCAAGCCGCAAATCAGTAAGTTCCTGGGCCCCACCTCTTATGGAGCTTCTTCTTCCTCCTCCTGGACAAGCCTCCTTAGGCTTAGCGGTGGTTTGAAGGTTTTGCTTTCAGATCCAGGATGCCATTTTATTAAGGGTTCTGATGACAAGGATCCGACTATCTAGTGCTCAACACTAACGGTCCTTGTAATGGGGCATCTAGGCTTCAATGCAGGTTCGGGAGTTTGGTTTTGGGATTACTGCACCGTCCTTTCAAACTGCAAAGCCCCGCTCCCTTCTTAAGAGTGCACTATGCTTAGTTTAGGGTGTAGGGTCTAGGATCTGCTGGGAAATACGGCCTGATAAGTTGAGTGTGGTTGGCATCCCTCGGTCAGGGGCCATGTGAATCGTATCCGGTGCTGGGCTCTTGCGCGCAATGATTC